TCGAAGAAAAAACAGTTCTTAATACGTACTAAAATATTTATTTGCGCAGGCGACTTTTTTTGGCGGTTTTCTGGACTATCGCCAAATATATAAACCTTTATTGCTACCCAATTTACCACCCAATTTTTTTGAAATTTTGTCTACCCCCCCTAATTCAAGTGTCTAGATTCCAAATATGTAAAAAAAAATATATGTTTATTCAGAGAAAGTACGTTTTTGTGTCTGATTTCGTAACTTAATTAATAGTTAGCACTAATTAATTAGCATAATTGAAGTCACCCCCAAGAACCATTAAGATTGACACTTAGTTCGTGAAAATCCGATCATTAGAACGAAAGTTATTCAGGGTGATTCGTTTTTTTTTTTGCGGACTGTACATTTAATACAAAGCGGTAAAAATATAAATCAATTGGAATGCGAAGCAAAGTACAAAATGAGCAATGTCGAACAAAGATATATATGTACATATAAGACCTTCGAGTATAAATATCATGAGCTAATTTTATTTTATTTCAAAATCGGCGTTGAACATCCGACTCAAGTCTCAGTTTACGACTATTAATCTTCAACACCTTATCCTTGTAATTTTAGACCCAATTCAGAAGACACGGAACTCCTGGATCAATCGTGGGAACAAACTAGAAGTGGAGGACCTTTTTAATAGAACAAACCCGCATTACCGTTACATGGAAAGGAAAACGACGAAAACATCCCACGGTTAGCTTAACATCAAGGGGATTCTTACCCGTGGTTCGTCTACCACTGAGGATATTTTACATCAGCACGGTAGTCGGAGCGAATCAGAAGCAGAACCAGCTATAACTGAAATTAGAACTTGGGTTACATACTTAAGAGGCGAACGCTGTATCGCCTGAGCAACCGTGGCTCTCATAAGCTCATTAGAGAAATCGGCAGTCATTTTATAATGGCCCAAGCAAATTGGAAAAGTCTTCAACATATTTCGTTAGGCTGATGCTTTTAGGATTATGAAAATCAACCCATATACCATTAATTAAAACAAGAAGAATTGCTCAATCACTTTGAATTTACTTAAGCTTGCTTGCATAGATGAGGATTGTCCTCTACCGGCTTTTTGAATTGAGAGCCAGAACTCGTTTTAACTTATTTCTTTTGTTTGAATTCATTTTAGTATGTTTAACTTCATTTAATTCATTACAATAAGCTTTTAGGCTCATGGAAAACAGCGTAAAATAAATCAAGCTAAGCAGACTTTTCCACTTTACGGGGTACATTACAAAATGACGGCGACTGTTTACAAAGTGCCGGATTTTACAATTGGCCTATACCATAGGTACTAAATTTAAAGAGTCTATGTGTAAAAAGTTTACATATTTTCAAATAAATATTCCCAGTTTTAACCTTTTGTATTAAGATTACTCATGGTTTGGTTAAAATGTACAAGGTTGAATTCAACTTACTTTTGCTATACAAAGTTACCGAACATATTTTTAAGTTTTATTTCTATCACATGTGTCATTCTATGCTAATACAAATTGAAATCATATAACTCAGGAAAAATAAAATATTACCCGGATTCTTACATAAACCTAGACTCACTACGGCGCAGAAGTTGCCTTTGTTAATGTTTCTAAATCCTCCTTAAATATCCTTTAATATACATACAAAAATACAAATTAAACCTACACTTGACGCCT